CAGTACGAGACCAGCTGGGTACAGTTTGTGCTAGAGATCGAGCTTCGCACGGATGGGGACCGGCTCTGGAAGCACTTCAATGCTCTCATCAATTGCGCAGTCCTGCATCTCCTTGCACCCAGACTGCGCCGGGATCGTCCGGTTCTCTCGGGTCTGGCCAAATCCCTGCAGGAACACCTCTGGTACGGTCTGATCCTCAGCAGGTTCCCCCGCCTGAGCCACCTCTCATCCTATTGGGCCTTGATCTTCGTCGGGTTCGCCTTCTCAATCCCACGTCCACTACATGCTACATGAACAGTGCACTCCTTGCGCTATTGCATGCTGTACAATCACTGCGTCCAATACATGAGGATGAGCTTGGCCGCCTGCGGGTGGTTGTTGGGGCGCTACGGCAACAGGCCGGGATGCTTGATGTCAGTAAGTACATGCCGTGGATGCTCATGATCAGTCCTTGGACTCGACCTTTTCAGCAGCATGATGTGGTGGAATTTATTCAGCATATTGTTCCAGGCCTGAAGATTCCTTCATTCAAAGGGCGCTGGTATGCTCGCTTTTCTGAGGCTGGTGTTGTCAGTCTCCGGGACTCTGGTCCCCTGACCTGTCCCATTCCTGTGCCGCTGCAGGATGCTGCCATGTTGCAGCATTGCATTGATCGGTGGCATTCCCAGCAATCTTTTGCCTTGCACGCTCTTGGCACCGATGCCGAGATTGTTATGCTGCACTTCATGAGGTACAATGCAGTGGGGCGGGGCAAACATAAGCGGATCGTGAAATCCTCAGCCGTCATTACTGGTTTGCTGGATACTGTGTGGTTGCCATGCTTCGCTGGTGAGTCTACTATTCAGTGTCTGCATCGTCCTTTTCAGGTGGCATCAGTCATTGTCCACTTTGGGGACACACCGAAAACCGGGCACTACCGCTGCCTCTGGAGAAAAAGAGACACGTACTGGTTGACGGACGACGGCATTGATGCTACGGAGTGCACTGCATGTGAAGCTGATGCATTGATGCAGCAATCATACATCGCTTGGCTCGTGCGGATGACCTAGGTCGTTGCAGCGCGCATATGATGCGGAATGACATGAGTTCTCTCATGCACCGACGGCCACAATGGCCTGGTGCAATATGTAGTGTAGCATCCTTGAGATGCCGGAGCTTGCTCTGCTACTGTTTCTCGCTAGGCGAACGAAGACTTCTCTCGCTGCGTCCGGAAGAAAAATGTGCATATGCACGTATGCGTGCATGCGTACGTATGTATGTACGTATGTATGTATGCATGTATGGTTGTATGTATGTACGTATGTATGCATGTCCGTATGTACGTACGTACGTATGTATGTATGTATGTATGTATTTATGTATGTATATATGTGTGTATGTGTACTGGAGGGGGGCATGGGATTTGTGTGAGATGCTTGGACCCGTTTCGTGGCATGCGTCATGTGTTGCCACGTATATTTTCAGGTTGAGCTTCGTGATCACCCCAGGCAAGGGCACTTGACTTGGCTCTGCGCCGCTCTCTGCATGCACATTCGGACGTGCACCCAGCTTTGTGACAGACTCTACGAACCGCCGCGTGCCAACCGCAGATCTTACTGCCACGGCCAAGGCCACCGGATTCGGAAGATCGTGTTTGTTTTCCGCTATTCCACCCGCAGGTCGCTGCCCCCGCAGCAGAGACAGGCCAGAGCAGTCACAACAGTGAACCAATATTTCAGATCGCCGCCTTAAGGCAGCGCCTTCACGGTGGGCGCGGCGGCAGCCACTGCCGCAGGTGCCGTGGCGGCGTCTACCCGACGCAAGACCCGAGCGAGCCGAGCAGGGGCCCCTGACAGCAGAGACTGGGGCAGGGCAGGCGGCGGGCAGTGGCAGGCCCATGCCGTCCAACGTC